CAGACACTTCTTTGTCAACCTGTATTTTTGCAATTCAGTTCCTCAGGAGGATCAATGCTGTTATAATGCTGCCACAAAATTTACAAAAATCTACTTGATGATTACTCATTACCCTTAATCGAGAAGCTCAGCTAGGAAATAAAGCAGACCTTGCTCATCCGAAGCATCAAAGCAGTTTCTAAATCTTTTTTCTTGTGTATATAACGTGTAAAAATATGTTGTAGGCTAAGAGAGGGACATGGAAGGACAAGGACTTTCCCCCCATTTCAACTAGTCTACCAGAACTGTGTTAACACTTTGATGTGACTCATGGGAAGAAATCAATGTTCTGGTTGTATTGTGGAGAAACCAACTGTTTCCATAACTCTATGGAACTTCTTTTTCAAACATGGAAAATCCCATATTACAGATACAACTACAAAAGAATGTATTCAGTGATAAAAGAAGGCAACCCTAACTACCCTCTAAACTGAACTTAAAATATTTCTCACTAACTGCATGGATCCATACATTAAGCTGAACACAGAATACAGTGAGTTATATTTAATGATGTAATCCCACTGATGGAATGGCATCTACTATCAGAAGAGATTCTTCCTCCATCTGCTTCAATTACCTAATAATGATATAATCTCTCCTCAAATCCCTTTTCTTCTTCCCTTCTTCATCTCCTATTTATTCTGTTATCACAATGATGATGATGATGATAATGATAATGATATATATTATTAGTATGCATTAAGCCAGAGATAGCACAAGTGGCTTTACTCCCAGGCCTGAAGTTAGGTTGTTGTTGAACCCCTGGTGGTTTGCTTTTGAATGCAATGTGAGGTTTTTCCCAGGGAACACAAGTTCTTGTTTTTTTCTCCTTTTACTGTGTAAGCTGCCCAGAGTCATTTGAGAGTCAGGTGATCTTCCAAATCTAACTAAGTTGCTTTTACTAAAATACCATTTAATCTTGTCGAAGGCACTGCTTTTCTGAATTTAAAATCATAGCTCTATTTTGCATTTAATATATTGAATTATTCCCCACAATACTGATCATGGCAATATTCAAGATCACTGACAACAGATTTAACATCTAGCACAGAATACGTATTAATATTCAGAAAGTGTGCTAGCAAGAACCTTGCTTTAATTAATACTTTCCTCATTTGCGTTTATCTTTTAAAATGATTTCTGTCTTTCAGCTACTAACATTTAATTTTCTTTTCAGTCTTGTGGCAATGGCATCCCTAAATCAACAGTTTAGTCAGTCTATGTTCTCAGGAACAGGGTTGTTTTAAAATTTCCTCTTAGAAAACAGAACTGCTATTTGTAAACTGATTGTATTGAGGTTGTTAATCCACCCACTCAGCCCAGAAGGCATTCAAGGTGGCTAACAATAATAACGATTTTAAAATCATACAGGGTTTACATAAAGTTTACAGAAATAACATGTATGATAAATGAACAAATGCTATTTTTTTTTCTTCCTCCTAGTGTTTTCCTGCAAGTGCAGGGTCCGCTTTTTCGGATCAACAGAATGTTGATCCACTGGCTGTGACAGGAATTTATCAACCAGCTTGTCACCCGAGCCTGATGTTGTGGGCTGAGAGAGAGTGACTGGCCCAAAGTCACCCAGCTGGCTTTGTGCCTAAGGCAGGACTAGAACTCCTGGTTTCTAGCCTGGTGCCTTAACCATTACACCAAACTAGCTCTCAAATAAATGCTAAATGTGCTTTACTATATTTATTTGGCTGTGATCAGTGGGCTGAATGGTTGTCAAATGATAATTTCATCACAGATTTTATAACAAATATGTCCAACAAAAAATATTACAAGTGCCTTTTATTCATATCTTCTGCAACTGCTATTTGGCTGTATTTGCCAGGCAGAAACCATTTGTTCTTCAACTAAGATATATCGGAAAACGAGAACGCTTCAATCTATATCATGAATTGCACACCAATAAATCCATGTTTGCACTAAATGTATTCAAAACGGGAATGTGGTTTTGCAGCTGATCCTAGCTCTCTAAGAAATCGGTCCTTATGAGCTAACAAACACATTTATCACCATGTATACTTTACATTTTTAATTATACAAATTAAACACGTAATGTATTCGTGGTCATTTCTTTCTGTTCTACAGATGATACTATCTTAGGCATAGTCTGCTTCTGTTATTTTAGGCATGAGTTTCTTAGAGCTTTTGATGCAGTCTAATGCAATGAGGATTTTTTTTTCCCCCACGATTTCACAAGTCACTGCCAGGCTAATAGCTTTTCATTCATTAACAAAACACACAGAGAAGGCATAGCGGATGCATAAAACATTTCAATGTTCCTAATAGTTCTTGAACTTCAGGCAATCCTTCAGTACTGAAATGTAAAATGTTTGGTTAGCAAATAATTTAACTGAAAAGACTGTTGCACTGCTCAGTCAGACAGATCAAGGAATTACTTTGGGGCTAGAAAAGTCTCATCATAGATGAGAAAATCTGTAAAGTTACCAGATGCCCTTGTTTTAAATCACATCCTTTATGTTCAATGTGTGAAGCAAAATTAATCTGCTGCTCCACACACAAGACTGTTGCCAGATTTTTAAGAAGAGAAGTGATTTAAGTTTTAGCAGGGAATATCTCAACATGCTAAAAGTGAGTGGTGTTTTTAGAATAAGTCTGGTTGTATAGCTTCTTCTAAATGTGCTTTTTTTAGCAACAGAATTGCTAGTACTTGCCACTGACTCCTGGTTTTCTTTTTACAGTACTATAAACAGTTTTTTGGGGGGAATATGATATTGTGATTGGTATTGATCTTTCTAATAATGACCACTTGCCTAAGTAATCTCCCTAAAAAAACCTCATATCACAATATGTAAATTAATTAGAGTGATGGGGGAATCTGAGAATAGCTCAGTGTCTGAAGTCTTGTTTCGCCATGTGGAGCAGGCAGAATTCATAGTATCTAGTGCAGTGTTTCTCAGCCTTGGCAGCTTTAAGATGTGTGGACTTCAACTCCCAGTATTCAGCTGGGGAATTCTGGGAGTTGCAGTCCACATATCTTAAGGCTGCCAAGGTTAAGAAATACTGATCTAGTGCCTCTGCCATCCAGAGGGGCCAATCCCTGTAGCAGGAATTTCAGCATTGTTGAACTGTATCTTGGAGTGAAGCAGAACATGGATAGATGATCCCTGCCCATTTCCAACTTCAAGCTACAGAGAAAACACAATTCCTCTTATAGGAATCACAGCTCTGGGAAACAAACAGAATTGATGGATACATGTTAAATATTTATTATTATTATCATTATCATTATTTACAATGCAATCACCATCAAATCTCATCTTTATTAGGATTAATTCCTAATTAATTCTTGGAAGCTCATCTTTTGTATTTGAGTTTTCTGATGTTTGCCATGCTCCTGCCTCTTCTATTGGTTGTCCTGTGCTTCAAGTTAGTTTTTCCTTGATCTCCCATTAGGAAACGGAGTCTCAGCTTGGCAATACTCAAAATATCCTATTCTGAATATCCTAGATATTCTAAATATCTAGGTATATTTCTTATGCCAGGCACTTCTGGAATAGCTCTGCTATATGAGCAAAGGCTTATCTGTACAGATATTCTTTTGTATATTCAGAAAAAAGCCAAGCTGAAAAAATGCTCTGAAGAATTCTTTATCTTCATGTAGTCTATGAAACATTTCTTGCACACTTTAAAACAGATGCACTTCCTGACTGACCTTTACAAGGCACCAAACTGGGAAGCCCATAAAATATTTACATCCCTTCTGCTTGGCAAGCTGATGATGTATCATAAACATTGTTCATATTTAACTTTCCTTTTGGCTAGCTCTACAAAATATAATTCCTCTGTACACTAAATGCCTGCTTAAAAAAGCAAAAAGAATGCAGTAGATTCAAATGTGCAAAGCTAAGGAGATTTTACCTTGAAACTGGTAAGTTTAGCTGTATCAAAGGGTTTACCTAACCTAAACCAGCAACTCTGAAAGCAGGTTTTTCACTTTCTTAGTTAATCTTCATTAGTATTTCACATTTGTGATCACATATATAACTAGGAATAAATCTGATAATGGTGAAGCAGTTAGGACATGAGAGGAACGGAACCAGAACTAATTGTGAAGTATTTATGCCCCCATTGGTATCAAGAGTTATTTGTTAAGATGGGTGGCCAATAAATTTCTTAAATAGATGTATAAGAATCAGTGATGAATACAGAATTCCCTGAAAGGGAATTTAGAAAAGTGCTCCCTCTCTAAATACATCCAAGTCTAGTTAAATTGACTTGCCCCTAAGAGGGCCAAAAAATGTAGGCATAAAATAGAATAAGATTCACTGAGGACTGTTCCCCATCGGTTGGCTAAGTAAGATCTATTTCTCACTGCAAAATTCTACCTATTCTCCCCTAAGTAGTTAGCTTTATTCAAACATGGCTCCATTGGTAGTATTTAACACTTTTTCAGTTTACTTTTTCAATTTCTTTCATCTTAGTCATATAGTAGTTCTGTAACACAAAATGCAAAATGACCTTAAGGGTGAATATCTACTCTATTTTGTGCTTAATGCAAATTAGATTAAACAGTAATTCAGAGGAGCAGGCTGAGCAGCATCTCCCTAATTCTATATATACAAGATCACAGTTTTTTGCAACTTTAATAGTTTTTAATAAAAACTATTTTAAAAAATTCCAATTCTGAATGCAACAGTTCAGATTAGAATCCCCATCTCTCTCATACTTCCACACTGAAATTCTCAGGAAAATTCCATGCTCTTCCTACTTACTCATCAGCCAGATCTTCTTGATTGTTGGCTGTGCTGCAGAGCCTTAACACTTCAGTTCAACTTTGTGTTCCAAGCTTTTAAAATGTTATTTCCTGCATTTGTAGCTAGCAGAACATTACCCTACAGTATATATGCTGTTTTCCTTTTCATAATACATCAATTATTGTTGAGAAAAAGAAAAGCTACAAACTTCAGGTAAAAGAAATAAGGCAAGCTTACCGTTACACCAAAGAAGCTGGTCTGATTCATTGCATCCAAGAAAATTTTTCCAAGTTCTTTGTTGGTGTAGTTAAAGTCCTCAATTTTTTGGTTTCTGTTGGTGGCATTAAGAATCTTCATTGCCTGCTGCAGTGTTTTGGCAATTACCCATATTCCATCATAAGCAAAGCCATGGAACTTACTTGGCTCAACATTTCCACGCCTTTGATCATATTCCTCTTCATACTGCTGTGGTGTCTGTAGAAAGAATGTGAAAAGCAATTCACTTTTAGCATGTTAAAAGTCCATACCTCAAATTGAGTCTGAAACTCAAAGTCCAGTTAAAATTTTTTTAAGTCCTTTGAAGCTACATGAATCTCAAGAAAGATAATTAAAAGTGTATTTAATTTAAAAGGGGGGGTGCATTATTTTATTATTTATATGGTATAGTACCACCAAAATGCATGCATTTTATAAACAGTTACACTCCAAACTTTAACAGAGAGGATAAAATATACAAAGAGAAAGAGAGAGAACTGGGGAAGTATATGCATGCATTTCAGTTAGGTTTAGTTATACTATGATATTTGAACTAATGGGTAGAAACAGATGGTGAATTCTGTATAAGATACTTCTAAGTATCTTCCACTAAATCAAAGAAAACAAGGTATTACTCTTTCTGCCCCTCCAGGACTCAGTTCATAAATCAGCATTTCTATTATGTACAAGACTACATTTTTCCTACTGTAATATTAAATCAAAGTACATATTTTTAAGAATTTTTCATTTTTTTTAGCTGTTAAAGCATACCTGCCTGAATTAGGACAGATTTACACAGTCAAATATCCCACATTTATCCAGAATAGCCAGCTACCCCACACAGATTCTAGTTTTCTTCCTTATTGCTTGTATAAAAGAAAACTGCTTTCAGAGTTGGTTCAGGCATGGAACAGTTGCACAAACAGCAACTCATGAGATCAAACTGCAGTAAGCAATGTGCTGCAAATAAGGTACTAAAAAGCAGCAGTATATACAAGCAAAGGTTTGTGCTTCGGCTCTCTTCCTTTTCGGCGTTAGCACAGAATCTTCTGTGATTGCTTTTACCCCTCTGCATAAGGGCATTTAGAGCTGAATTGGGGAGCTGTTAAGGGTGGAAGGAACAAGGCTTTAAGGAGGAAATTACAGAGACAAGAAATTACACAGTCCAGAGACAGAAGGAAGCCTGAGAAAGAAATTCAAAATAGCCCCAGCTTGTTTTTCCTTAGTATAAGTTGGAACATGGAGAAATTTGGACAGGCTTTTAAGAGTCTGTTATTATACCGTACAACAATAAAGTAGCATTTCTGGAATCTCTGTGGTGTCTGCTTATTGACCTGGGATACCTCAAAGGACTGATACTAAGTTACATTGGATTCTATAACTGTTAGTAAGCAGTAGTCTTGCCAAATAAGCTGGCAAACACCATCTCTTAATTCTGTTTTATAGACAGGAGCTGTTGAGAGGGGCACCAACTTCCTTCTCCTTGAAAGAGTAGTAACCCTAGGGATCCTATTATGGTGACTACAGTAAAAAGTTAACTACATTGTTCATGATGCAGATGTTTGTGAGCCAAACTACATGGCTTACATAAAAAACATTATTTGATATATTGGCATTTGGTCGCATTGTTTTAAAAGGAAATTTCAAACTAAAACTTTCTCCTTCTGCTCTTAGGTAATTTTACACAGTTTTATTGAGTCCTTACTCTCCTGGGCTTTATATTTGTATATGTTTTTCCTAGAGCTAAGTTGAAGGTGGGGATTTCTGGCATTAGAGCTTGGAATTTCTTTGGCAGCCCAAGAGGTTCAGTAAAGTGTGCTTGTGGTCGCAGCCTATCAATTATTTAATTTTGTCATTCCTGCTACAAAATCTGCAACACTGGCCATTCTGCAGAGAGTCTGACACCACTGGAAATGCTAAAAAGTATTTGTTATATTAAATATGAAATAAGTAGGATCTTCATCGTGTTGTTTGGAACATTATTATCATGATGAAATTCATTGGCTAAACTGAGTTTAAAATAATTGTTTATGTTCATTAATGATCTAATAGAAACTCCAGTCCTTCATGTGCACACATAGGTACAAACATGAGTCTTCTGTTCATTCTTTCTTTTCCCTTGTAATCTTCATGGTTCTTCTGTCTCCCCACTAATTCCACTGCTGAGAAAATTGTCCTATCACTCTCCCCATTCCCACACTTCAAGCACATGGGATTCCCTTATCTTTTAATACTTTTTAATGACTTAAAATCTTATTTACAGAAGCAGGCAATGTTGCTTCAGTGTTTCATTTATATGGAAAATTCCACTTTGGAAAAGTGCTCCAGAGAGGGTACAGTACATTAGTATTATTAGTCAAACAGCTTGGTGACCACTGGCTCCTATGGTTAACTGTTTTGCAGAGGGAATTGCTCTCTACAAAACTCAAGGCATCTTACAAGAGTACAAAGAATGCACTTTCAGAGTTGACAAACTTCTCCTTTTACACTTGAACAAAGTAGTCCAATTCTGACTATTGTACTTAAACACGCCAACATAGATAATAGATAGCTAACTATCAGAAAATTGTGTAATCTTTTACATCTTATTTAATATATTTCATTTCTCCCACATACCCCTCACTACTATCTCTGTAATTTAATGACAGTATAATGACAACCCTTGGCATTCCTACTTGAAGAACTGTGTCCAATTCTCATTTTTTATATTTATATTGGTATATCAATTTTTAGGACTGGGTTGAAATGTGTTATAGGAAGAAATCAATGGTGTAGAAACACAATATTTTTGATGGATTACTTCAAATGCCCCAGATAGAAGACAATAAACTAACTTACCCTTCCTGAAATGGTTTTTATCTGTTTGGAACTGAGAGGTTCAAAATCCACTCCAATGTAACCTTCCATAGCACCCAGAAGGTTTGTACCAAGACAGTGTGATGAATTCAGCTTTGGAATAGCTTTTTCCCACCAAAAGCTCTGATACCACCCAGGAATTATCCATTGATACTTAGGGCCAAACATTTTTTCATTATATGCCTGCAGTAGAAATATGAATGAAGAGAAGCAATTTTATTGTTGGAAGGTATAAGACATATCACAAAGTATTCCACTGAGATTTTATGTATTTAGCTACAAAAGCTAATAACATTTCTCTTAATATTATAAACCATATCTTGAAAAAGTAAATATAAAATATATATTTTAATGAAAGAAATTCTCATTTCATATGTCTATATACAATTCAAAATCTTAGTAGAAAAGTAAAGGTCCAATTTAGCAGACGTTTCATTACCCGGCTAGGTAACAAAACGTCTGCAAGAAAACAACCAAGCTCAGAGAATCCCAAGTACTCCACAGTTCAACCCTGAGCTACAATATTCTCTTCTATTGGTCCAACTGACTGAATTCTGTTATAATACAAACACCTTTGCATTTAATGGGTCTAAAGGAGAAGCAAATCTCTGATAGAAGGTTGCTTTTATAAATAAAATGTCCAAAAAAAGTTCAGAAAGTATTTATTTATTTGTGATTTAGGTTAATATGGCACTTCAGTTGTAGCTGACTCAGTCTAAGCTGTTTTAAATGAGGATGTAAAGTTAGTGCGACACAGTAGTTGTATCTATGTTAAGTAATAACTATCGTAGGACTCTGGTAGTAGAACCTCACTTCCTCACCTATTCACCAAGTATGCTTTAATTCTATCTGCCATTCTGTGATACGAACTGGCCATTTATTTCTAGCTGAAGCCCTCTTGAAGTAGGAGAGCTCAAAAGTGCTTTTGGCTGAATTGTAATGTACTGGATGAGATAGATTGTTCAAGAACAAGAGGATATACAAGAACCTTGCAGATGTATTAATATATACTGGGGTTGGGAAAGCAGAACGTTAGTCTAGAATACTTAAACATACATTTAATTATTTATCTTAATTATTTTAAACTATCTTTCATCAGAAATTCTCAAGTACTTTACACCATTTTTTTAAAAAAAATCAGATTCTGAAATGTTCTTCATAATTATAAAAAAAGTTGTCAAGTTAATTTGCGTCAAACACATAGCTCCAACTTATTTATATCAGGCTGCAATTATCCCTGCTGCTGCATGTTGATGTAGACTTCCTAACTGGTAAATCCTACTTCAAAATTAAGACCAAAATTAGGAAATCATTGAAACTCAGCTTGTTATAAGAAGCATAAAACTCAACATTTGTCCAGAATAGAAAAGCCAGTTGTTTGATTCATCCAGATGCAGGCTTTTATCTATGCACACTTGGGAATAAGGATTTACAGAAAAGAAGAGTAAAAGATGGATTTATGTTAAACTTTTTAACAGCTATTTAACACTTTGTTATAAATGACTGAATAATTTATTGAAATGATTTTTCCTGCCTATTTTAATTATTTCAAAGCAGATCTGCATTCTCAATAACTGATATCTGTTAAAACCTACCAAGATAATTAGATCTGCTATGTCAGACTAATATACCTGAACACACTTCATATAATTATGCAAATGCAAGTGTATTTAATTTTTCTTCCAGTTTTCAGAGAGTGTTTAGCCTTATCAAAATTTGCACATATCAAATCCAGCTTAACACCAGATTTCCCAAACAAAAGCAGCACTGTATTAATATATATGTATATATTAAATTAATGCAGCCTTCACAATCCTAACCCTAACCATTTGTAATTTGTACTCAAGTCAAGCTAAAATATTAGAGTTACATATTGAACCAAGGAATCTTAAGGAAATTCTGCTAAACTGTACAATATATATTCCCAGAGTTGCTAATAAATATCAAACATGAACTAAGAAATGGTTAATTTAATCACTGGGGTGAGTATGTGACAAAACTTTTCTTTCTTTCTTTTGCTTTTTCACTTACACAACAGAATACTTTTGCTGCCATTTCCTCATTGAACTGGCCAAGGATAATTCTAACATCATTGCCCTGCAATGGAAAAAAGAAGACATATTAATTATTGATATTTTCATTTGTATTAATCAAATGCTGTTGTACATAGCAAAAATAAATAAATTCATATTTTCAATCTACAAATTTCTGTGCTACATGGACAGTTCAGTATATACCCAAAAGGTTGTAAATAAAACAGTGAACCCTAGCACTATTGGTAACAAAGAATAAAATTCATATATAATGTTTTCATATTATCTGTGAGATGCAGTGGTTATAAATACATTAACAGGCTGGTCCTCTTGTATGTTCAATACATGTGAGGCACAGAAATGATCATCATTGCAATATTAACTTTTTACAAAATGCTTCAAAGAAGGCTACAGGAGTTACATCATCCATGGATACTGGAAACCAGTGCAGTTTCATGCTATTAATTAACTTCAGTAATGATGTAGGCACTAAATTTAACAGAGATAAATTGAAAAGGATTATGTATCCATATTCATAAAATGCCAGTTTAGGTACATCAACATAAACCTCTTCTTACGAAACTGCAGCTAAGCATAGAAGACTGAAATTGTTGCTAATTTGAAACATTTTGAACCAGAACATTTTGCATGTCCCTACTTTTATACATTGGACTCTGAAGGTTCCAAAATGAATTGTTTTGTGGTTTGTATAGAAAGTGGGTAGCTTTACCTCTAGTTGATCATCATCCAAAGATGCATTAAGGAGTATCATCAATGGAAGTTATTTCATTTTCAGAATCAGAACAGAAAACATCAAGAATCTTTCCCACAAAAGTCTAGTTATTCCTTTTCTTCTTATACATAAATCAGCAATGCAAAGAAATAACATCTCCTAATATTTTTTTCTAAAATTACATATCAATAGTTATTTTAGTTTTGTAAAAGTAAAAAATTAAACCCTAATGTTTCCCAAAGCAAATCAACCTTATTTGGAAGCAATTCTCTGTTTATATCACTCCAGTTCTGTGGTTCAATGAATTTGTGAAAGGCTTTTGTAAAAGGCATTTGTGTTTGAAATATAGAGATAGGCAAATAGTTAAATAGATAGAAGTTCAGGCAGACTCTCCTTCACGCTATGAGATATATGAAGCTGGACAGACTGAATTAGAATTTAGTATATTCCTGAATACAATATCATAGAGGTTTGGTTCTCATCACCATAATAAACATTCATCTAGCTGTAACACTCCAAGTTGAAGTTGAGAGCTCACAAGATTATATGATTTTCTGTACCAAAACTCACCCAGACAGTAACCCTGTACATTGAATATTAGAATGTCAGGGAACAACAGTCTCCATATATCAACATTCCTTCCAATAATTTATAGAATGCCATGCAGCTTAAAACCTTAACACATTATTCTAGAGCAGGGATCCCCAAACTCTTCAGCTCTTTGACCCTTTCATAAAGTTTCAGATTGTTCATTGACCTCCAAACAATTATATGAAAATAATTTAGTAAATATTACTTTAACTAATAGTATTACAAATAATAACAACAACAACAACAAAGACAAAAAAGTCTGGATAGTGGACACTGCAATACTTGGAGACAGCAGAATAGAAGACAAAGAACTGGAGAAAATCACAAAATATATAGACCTGCAGATAGAAGTAGAACAACTATGGCAAAAGAAAGCAAAGATAGTACCAATAATTATAGGTGCCTTAGCAGCAATTCCGAAACATCTGAAGCACCACTTGAACATTGACAAAATCACCATCAGTCAATTGCAAAAGGCAGCTTATTGGAACAGCTTATATCCTGTGACCCTTCAACACCATCAAACAACAACATCTGCCTATCCCAGGTTCTTGGGAAGGACTTAATGGGTGGATAAAAATGCCAAATCCAGTCTAAACATCTGGCTGACTGTGCAACCCACTATAACAACAACATTGACCTCTTGGATCATCCTGTCAACCCTTCAGGGTCGATACTGACCACTTTGGAGAATCCTGTTCAGGACAGTCTATAGAAACCAATTAAGACTCACTTCTAAGTAACATGCTTAGAATCACACTACTATCTTCAGGCTTATTCTGATTTCTTTTTAGTGAATTTCTACTAAAAATACAACAGTTTAAGGATTTCAGAATTTCAGTATCAGTTATCCTCTGCAAATAATCAGTCTGCATACAGAGAATTCTTTATGTGGACCAACAGGAACAATTTCCTATTTATTGGTACTCTAATTTATTTTTAATTTTAGTACTAATCCAGGTTCAGCAATGGTAGCTTGATTAGGTAGCTTGATTACTCTATAAAGTTCCTGAAAAGGGAGTGGGAGTTCATTATAGGAAGAAAAACCTATTCAATCTGTTTTCCTAATTTCTAATTGCAGCAGTTTCCTGTTCTCAGAAGTGTACTGAAACTGTTAGGGCTAGATTCTGAGCACCTTCTGATGCTGTCAATTTTACTCTTAAAATTTAGAGAGAAAGAGAAAAAAAAAGAAAAAGTTCCAAATTGTTAGAGAAATATCAAGTGGGAATGCTCCTCTGTTTATTTATTTATTTATTAGTATTAATATCCATCATTTCTTCTGTATTAAAAAGTAGGAATGTTAATATTCATAGTATCCAGAGACTATATTTGACAGCCACCCCAGAATAATAAACAGGATGCTATGCTTTGTGAGGAGCTGGGAACAGGGGGCAGGGATAGTAGCAATTGTTACATTATCTGGTGACAAAAATCCACAGTAGAAAACACACACACACACACACACAGAGAACAGCTTAATATTCATGGCTTCATGTTCTGAAAAGCTTCAGATCTAAAAATGAGATGAGATATACTCCCATCTAGGGTTAATTTATAATTTCAACATCAATATTAAAAGTTATCACATTTATCTGAGCAAATTAAAATGACAGAAAAATATACACCAAAATGCCTTAAATAGAAAAGGGCATTTGGTCATTGAGAGTCATACCTCTCAGGTTTTTCCAATAATATACAATGTACAAAACAGATTGATATCTATGTTTTGCTGAGAAGCCCCCCAAATAAAAAGTTATAAATAGCATAAAGAATTTTGATTTGTATGTTCTAATTCTTTCTTTAGGAAATTGTACTGAAGGAATAAACTGTAGTCAACTGAAATAATTTCTGCTTCCTACTAGGGAGTCTTTATCTCGTATTTCTGGTCATCCTTAAGGGTGAATGTGTTATACATGAAAATTATAAACTACCCATTCAGCACCCAGACAACACGTACTGTAAAGAGGATAATGACAGAGACATGGGCAATGCAAACAGATTGAAAAATATGAAGGCCAAAATGTGATAAACAGGAAGCTTAAACATATTTAACATGTTGTTGTTGATCGCACAGACAATTGTTTAGACTGGATTTGGCATTTTTGTCCACCTATCGAGTCCTTCCCAAGGACCTGGGATAGGCAGAAGTTGTTTGATGGTGTTAAAAGTATCGTCACAGGATGTAAGCTGTTCCAAGTGAAGCTGCCTTTTGCAATTGACTGATGGCGATTTTGTCAATGTCGATGGTGTTCAAGGGGTGTTTCTGGTGTTTTGGATTGCACCCAAGGAGCCTATTACTATTGGTTCTATCTTTGCTTTCTTTTGCCATAGTCGTTCTACTTCTATTTGCAGGTCTTTGTTTTTTGTGATTTATTATTACTATTAGCATCGTTATTACTATTCAATTTGTACGGCTGCCCATCTCAACAAGTGACTTTGGGCAGCAAACAATTGTATAATAAATTAAAAACAAATTCCTATCATAAATACACAGCACTGAGGAAGATGTCACAATCAGTGGCTGTTACTACAAGAAGGAGAAGGGACCCTTCACACCCTTGAGGCCTCAGGCCCTTACAAAAGGCCAGCAGGGTTTGGGCCAGCCTGATCTCTGGAGGGGGAATATTCCATAGGGCAGGTGCTACAGCAGAAAAGTCATCCCTCTTGTGCCCCGCCAACTGGCATTTCCCTGGCTGACAGGACCTGGAGGATGCCCATCCTGTTGGGCTGAATTGGACAGGTAGAAGCGACTGGGAAAAGACAGTCCCTCAGGTAACCTGGTCCCAAGCCATAAGGGCTTTAAAGGTGGCAACCAGTGCCTTGAATTGTATCCAGAAGCACGCTGGGAACCACTGCAGCTCATGGTGTAGTGGTGTTACATGTGCTGAGTAACCGACACCATTTACTACCTGTGTAGCTGCATTCTGCACCAGCTGAAGCTTCCAAATGTCCTTCAGGGGCAGCTAGAGAGTGCATTGCAGTAATTCAGAAGGGAGGTCACGAGGGCATGAGTGACAGTGAGCAGGGCCTCCTGGTCCAGAAATGGGTGAAACTGGCACACAACTTAAAGGTGTGTAAAGGCCCTCCTAGCGATAGCTGCCACCTGCTTTTCCAGCAGGAGCCATGAGTCCAAGAGGAACCCCAGATTGCACACCGGGTCTGCCTGAGGCAGTGCCACCCCATCCAAGACCAACGGTGGAAAAATCTCAGCACCAGAAGGTCCAAACACCCAAAGTCACTCAGTTGAGCTGAAGCCTGTTGTGCCCCATCCAGGCCCCCACAACCTCCAGGCACTGGGACAGGACATCCATGGCATCACTCAGGCAGCCTGGGATGGAGATATTAAGCTGGGTATCATCAGCATATTGGTGATACCTCACCCAGTGGCCTCATGTAGATGAGGGGGGAGAAAGGATCAAGCCCTGCAGCACCCCACAAAATAGGGACCGTTGGCTGGACCCCTCCCCTCCTATCAACACTGACTGGAACAGCACAGTGCCACTCACCCCCAACTCCCGAAGCGAGTCCAGAAGGGTACCATGATCAATGGTATCGCAAACTGCTGAAATGTCAAGAAGAGCAAGGATGGATGCACTACCCCCATCTCATTCCTGCCAGAGGTCATCCAAGAGCGTGAACAATGCCGTCTCAGTCCCATACCTCAGCCTGAATCCTGACTGAAAGGGATCCAGATAATCCATTTCATCCAGTGTCCTTTGAAGCTACAGTGCAACCACCTT